CAGAGCTGGGGGGGGGGGCAGTTTGCTGTTGGTCACGGGGGTTTGTGGAGCACGTATGAATCTGTTGCTAGAAGCGCTCGAATGCTAGTTAGCCCCGCTGCTAAGCAGCTAGCAACACTGCGAATCAATTGTGTCGGAGATCTCGGAAATACGTGTAAAAAAGCGGTTACGCTCATCCGCCGCTCTCGGGATTCGTTGTGCCCGTTGAGTTTTTGTTTTTCCCCAAGTGAGGGGACGCTAATAACCGAACGCTAGAGTTTCAATTTCGATGTATTGTCAGCTGAGAGTTTTTTTTCTCCTCTCTATTAGCTTGTTAGCCGCTCTGGTTGGTTTAGTCTAGCTTGTTAGTGGTGTCGGAGATTTCTACTGTAATAGCTGTCAGCGACAACAGCCCCTTGTTCGCATATTTTTGGACATGAATGATTTCATCGCGGACTGAGAGTTGTTTAGAGAAGCGATACGTTGAGATGCCGCGCGTGGGATACTTAATGTTTCCAGGGACGCTTTTATTTTCTTGTTAGAGTGCTTTATGGGAGTGCTAGTGTGCAGGGTTTTGCTTTAGATAATACTAGAATTAAAACATCGTTTTTCTTCCCCCCCATGCGAACCGGTTATCCACCTTTATCCATCCACCGCGCGTCGTTTTCATGTGGTTAAAGCCCACATTTCAGTCGCACTCTCGTTGTTTTCTTATCTAGTGGTTCGTTTGGCTCCACGCTTGTGTTCACGCCGTCGGTGGTACATGGTCGCTGAGACAGAGCGCTGAAACACGCTTTCATTGGTTTGCGGCGGGGAAACGGCGAGATTCGGCTCGAAGTATTATGGATGATCAGACCCGAATGCTGGCTGGCATGGGCGGACTCGGCGGACTCTCTCAGGCCGACGTTGGTGACCCCGATTCGGTTCGGAAGCAGCAATCCCTCGGTCAGCCGCAGCAAGACATAGGGGATATTCTCCAGCAGATCATGGCCATCACCGACGAGAGCCTCGACGAAGCCCAGGCGAGGTAAGACCTGTGTGAGGACGAGAAGTATGGAGGCACTCAAGAAAAACACTGTTTGTTTGATAGATACTTCATAAGTTCTGTGAGGGGAATTACTGTGCAACAGCAGCTAGATAAAATCTACATCTTGTTGCGTTATACAAACACTTGTATAAACAGCGGCAACTGTGCGGCTGAAAATCGCATGTGATAGAATGCATTGCACCTTCTGCTCATGTTACATATACAGTTGTACTAGAAGAAAAAAAATACACGTAATGTGTCAATTAATCGCATTTGTTTGGGCGTTCTTGCATCTTCCCTTTTTTAAGTTAAGTTGGCGTTGCGGTATTAGTTTGTAGTTTTAATGACTCGCTTTGGATAAAAGCATCTGCTGAAATGAATAAGCATAAATGCATTTACTAAATCGGTTGGTGATTACGTAATGTACTTAATGAACGTTATTATAACGAGAAAGTAGAGCAGGGGTCCCTGTGGCTGAAATTGTCGACATCTTTTGATTATAAATATTTTCTTTGCCGATTGCCATTCAAATAATACACTAAATATGCACCAAACCGATAATAAGACTATAGTTATGCAAGTATTTTTCCCTCCTCTGGATTTGCTAGATGGGGCCAAAAAGGCTTTAGAGGTCAAATAATATGTTTGTTATCAGGAGCCCATGTGCTCTGTGAAGCCATTTGGTCTTCAGTGAGCGTCTGCCAGCTTGAGGCCCCACTAGATAAATGAATTGGATTAATGTGCTACCTCGTCATTAGCATAGATAATCAGCGCCCTCTTAATTAAGTCATCGCCGTCAAACAGCGTCTGACTTAAACTCGAGATGAAAACACCCGACAGGTTTGACGACTTTCCAGCCTTTTCCCGCAGATTCTGCGCGCGTACAGTCGGCGTTTTTCTATTGACCGCGGTGAAATTGATCACTTATGGATCGCTAGTGACCTGCGATCTGTTGAAAGGTCAACTCGAGCCGCCGATCCCGGACAAAAGCTGCCTTTTAATGAGGGATCGTATGTGCGTGTATATGTCATTAGCTTGTGATTTTCCACCAAGCCATTTGACCACCTGGTTCTCGTAATTAATTCACTTCTCTTTTACCCTCCTCCTCCTCCCTGGTGTTCATCGTTTTCATTGTGTGTTGGGCGCAATCAATTCTCCTATAATGTGTGCGCGTGTGCAGCTGTCCTCAAATTGAGTTTCTATTAATGAGATGGAGGGTCGCTACACGGGGAACTTATGAACGCAACCATATTGCCTTTGTCTATACTGCATTTATTGGGTCATAGTGTTGACTTTGTTTCACTTGTGCAAAAGACCCATGAGTTGAATGTTGTGTTGATGGTGTGTTAGTCTATTTGAAAAGGGGTTTGAAGGTGTTTGGATGAAGACGAGTCTTCTAAATAAGGGATTGTTCATCCAAAAATGACAAATTCTTTCATTATTTTGCTGAATGACCTAGCTGCTGTTTTCAAAGTCATGAAAGTGAATGGGCACTAATGCAGTCAAGCTCCAGAAATTAATAAGTATAATTAAAATGATAGTCAATTGGAATAGTGTTTAAGTCTTATGACGCCATATGTTAAGACTGACATCTAAAACAAAATAAACAAAAAAAAGGGTTTTGTTATGAAAGCCTAAAAAATGTTTCTTGAGGGGTAACATCCAAATTAAATGCTTTTACTCAAGACAAACATATTTAATATCGCCTACATTAGGATATATTTGAGCATTTTTTTCCCAGTCAGCTCAATGACAAAGTGTCCCAATTTATTAGGGCTTGGACAATAAATCGATGCATCGAGAAATGATTCTGCATCGATTCTGAGATTCTGCGAAGGCATCGTGATTGTCTCTTGAATCGATTCTGAGCTTAGTTTTTAACAGCAGATGGCATTGCGTGCTTTAGAAAGAAAATCTCAGAATCGATCCACGAATCGCGATGCATCGATTTATTGTCCCAGTCCTAATTTACCTGATTCCCCCTATAGCATACATGCATACATACAGGCGAACATAACCATACACTGTAAAAATAACATTTTGAGTATATTTTACAAGAAAATGCTGATTCAGTAATTTACTTAAAAATGTCATGTTTAATCCAATGTGTTACTTACCATTTCTTTGTAATTGTTTGTGAAATTTACCAAGTTCTGAGTGAAAATAGTTTCTACACTTAATTTATTTTGGTGTAGAGTAGACTTAAGAAAGGTTAAAAAATTTATGTAAGGGTATTGACAATTTGACAATGCAAAAGTTAGGCCCAAAAGAACTTACACCTTCCATTCTTTTAACATGAAGCATTTCGTTCAACCAAGTTTTGAAGCAAGGGGAGTCTGAATTTTTCCAGTGTAAGAGTATTTTATTATTGCATGGATCATACACAACAATAAAGATAACAAAATATATATTTTAAGAGCCAGATTGTGTAGAAATCACTCTTCAAGGTAACCTATTACTACATTTTCCCCTCCGCTGTAGCTCGCAAATCTAATTCGAACTTCCGCATCTTCAAACTGGCATGAAGATTTTTCACAGCATGTGTCATGTTAATGATGCAAAACACTGTTGGTTCTTGTGTGTCTCATAACTGATCATAATATAGCAAGTTTGAATATGCAGAAATTAATTTGATTTGAGTACTGCAGCGAAGGAAGCTTTGGGTTGTATGTGAAAAAGCAGTGTAAACATTGTTCAAAGCATCTCATTGACATAAGAGTAAGTGAATGACAGAATTGACTTTTTTTTTTGGTGAATGATTCCTTCAAGGATAATGCCAGATATTGTTAGTGATGGACGTAAATGCATTTTCTCTTTAGTCACTTCTTCTCTGTCAGTGATATTCTGCAGTTATTCTTGAGTTTAAGCCCTTGCCGCCTTCAGTTATGAGGCAAAAAAGCCCTTCGGTGCTTCCGCACAGACCTGAAATAGTTCAGATACCTGAGAGAAATATGCATTATTATTTTGTCAAGTGTGGGATGGTTTTAGGGCAGAGAAAGCAGCTTCATTTGCAGAGTGGGGAGCTTTACTCCACGTTTTACAGAATTTTAACTGGTGTGGTCAGCATTCTTGGACACTACAATACATATTTCTCTTTTTTTCTATCTTTTATAAACAGATTTCCTTTATTTGAGACTAATGAAATATGCACAGTTGTGATATCTCATTAAATGGATCATAATGCCTCTTAAATTAATTAGTATAATGTGTCCCAAACCTGCATTATTTGCTGAGTGGAGGCACGTGCTTCGCTCAAAAAGGGAAAGAGCGCATTAAGATGTGGTCCTCTCTGAATTGCTTTTTCATTGCATGTTAAAACAAATGAAATGCACAAGACTTCTTAACTTGCTTTGGCCTGTTGTCACTGCAAGTATTGTTGATAAGGTCAACTGAGTTGACAGACCAGATTACATCCTTTAGAAAAGAGCTAGTTAAGTTAAGCATTTATATCACTAAATCACTTTGTCCTTTATGCATATGTCCTTATTCTTTGAGTAAGTTCTTAATATTTGTAGATTAGATATTTCTAGTCAAGCGTTAGTCTGCTAAACATCACATTTTGTTTTCATGTAACTTCAGGTTTACTTTGCATTTAGTAGGTACTGATTTGGTCTTTGTTTCAACATCTCAGACATTTTTTGGCAGTCAGACTTGTTCTGATTCCATCCTCATATGCCACAGCACTTGATTACTGTTTTTTTTTTTCTTCTTTTGATCTGCATTATTTACTGTGGGGTCTTTGGTCCCAGTGTAAGGGGAGGATGGGGTGGGATGTTATTGGGACGGTGGGAGCAGATGCCAGCGCTGTCTGAGCCTGCTGCCCTGAGCCTCTCACCCTGTTGCCCTGTGTCCAGATGCTGGCCAGAGGAGGCACCGGCGCAGTGGACCCCACAGAGGGAGGGGGAGCTGGGGGGGAGTACAGCAGGGTGTGCCCTGCCGCTCAACTTCCAGCACAGGTCAGTACAGGAGCGCATGAGTACCCTCCTCTTCTCTCCCCCATCATCCCCTCCATGCTGATAACAAAGAGAAAAATGCACCCTCATACAGTTTAAGATGCAGTTCAGTGTTTATGAAATATCTCAGTGGAGCTAAACATTTAAAAGAACCGAACTCAGACCCATTTGAATAGACCGAATTGTTTATCAAGTGAGAAAGTTCTCATTTCATTCACATTGCCCTGGCTCTAAAAATGGGCTATTATTTTTAGTTGTGATAGTCTGTTCAATAACCACTTGAATAGGTTTTATTGTTTTGTTTTATGTTTTTTTTTTTTTTTACTTTATTGTATTTGTAAATATTAATGTATCAAAAATATCATTATCAATTTATAAAAAAAATATTATTATCATTTCATTTATAATATGTGTCATTTATTACATTAAATAGTATAAAATAAATATTTTAGATTTTTAGATTTCTTCAATTATAAAGAAAAGCATCTCTGATTGAACACTTAAACCTTCATTTTCACAGAAAACTAAACTTAAACCTTTCAGTTTCTGTGTTAGTTGACAGTAGTTTACAAATATGCCCCTCATTATCTCTAGAAATGAGAATATGTGACTTATCCCCTCTTTTGTTTCGTTGCATGTCATCATTCTCTTTGTATAAATAGCCTGTAATGGCCAAAATATTTAGAATAATGTGCATGAGAAGGTAGGCTAAATCCTGGCGTGCCTTAACCTCACATTGCATTTTATAAGCGACAAACACCTCAGACTTAACGTAAAACATACTCAAACCACCTCATGAGATGGTCTTAGTTGTGTTCACCTAAAAGCAGCATATAAGATACAGCATACCCTCTCTCAGGCTCTGAATCAAGAGGGAAACTCTCAAGCACCACACTAATTTATATAGTCATAAAATGTATTAAAAAAAAACCCTCCCCTTGTCATTACATCCCAGTAAAAGTTTCAGTTGCGACACCTTTTCATGATCATCCATCCATAAACATGAGTTTGGATTTCTGATTTGTAATGTCACTTGTTGTTATTTGATGTTTTTGTATTTGTCTCATACTACTCATATTTCATTCGTTTTCGAGCAAAAGAAAATAACCTACATTTAAGACTCAGCGACCCATTTTTTGCCATCTCATGTATTTAAATGTTTGTGCCTTTTGCATTGAATGCTACATACCTGAAATATTTGGGTGTGTGCACGACAAAACCAACAAAGAACATTTAGGCACCAAATGAAGTCTTGGCTAGAAGTAAATCTGAAGTTTGCTCGGCCTCTAACTCATGTTGGATGATAAACACGACCTATAAACCTATTCAGCATTGCCCAAGCTAGTGCCGTTGCCCATTTCCAACAAAATTACCCAACGAGTTGCACTGTGTGTCATCAGCTTAAGGCCTCATCCACCAAAAGCAATCTTTTTGGGGGATTTCCCATGTTATCTGTTTGCCTTGGAGCAAAAGGGATACATTCTAACTTTGTTTAGCTGTGGCCAACTGCAGTATTAGGCAGCAAGTTTTGTGGTGTTCAGTTTAGGACTTTCTTACAAAAGATTGTTCAGCCTAGTGCAGTGATTTGTAGCAACACATTTTTGATAGGCAATGCTAAGAATAGAAACCTTTTACAAGTGGCTGTATTTCACATGATTTGTGGCTTTATCAGTTTCTTGCTCAGGTGGCATGTTAATCCCAGCTGCTAGTTGAACAGTTTTAACGAGTCCCCATCGATTATTGGCATTTGTTAAGGGTTAACAATGCTCCTGGAAAGCATGCTTCATCTGCTCTCTAATACAGTAGCACTGAAATCTGGCTGCATGTAGATAAGCTCCCCATGCATCAGAGCTTACCAAGCCTGGAAATAAAGTTTGCTGATGGGAGACTGCCCTGAAATGATCGATGATTGGATTTAGCACATATGATTCTGGCTTTGAGAAGAATGTTTCCTCTGTGAGACAGGGTCCTCACTTGTTTTGATATTCTCCAGAGCTGCTCAATAAATTAAGCACATTCAGGGTGTAAAAAGGGCTGGATAATACCATTAAAGGGTGGAATGCTTTTCCCTGAAGACAAATGAGGACCATGTGTCAGTTACTCATTTAGCTGGAGTGAGCTGAGACTGCTGCTGTATCTTCTCAATCTACAGACACTGAGCTTTTTAAAAGACTCGAGTCTTAGTGTGTCCATTACATCTTGATTGATTCTAGAGTAGATGTTTGCACCTGTGATTGTAATCATATTCAGCAAAGAATGTTAAAGGTTGTTGGTATGTCTTCAATAACCATAAATCCTCTGGTTTGTTTGCCAGCCAAATGATGCATGCTTTAAATTGAGACTTGAAGAATCAATCATGAACGATTCTCAAATAGGGTGACCATATGTCCTCTTTTTCCTGGACCTGTCCTGGCTGGCATTTCTATATTGCCTAAAATGTCCAGGTTTTGGCTTTGTTTTCTTATTGACGTACTCTATAGTACTTATGCATTATATGTAAGCGTATTTGCATTGCTTTGCTTTGACCGATCTCTGTAGATCCCACCTTCTCGCAAACCATGATTAGTCAATTATGTACAACGCCTGCACGCTATTGGTCAAACTACTTTTCAGTCATTACCATTAGCAAGTATGAAAACAATAGGAAAACAAAGCCAAAATCCGGACATTTTAAGCACTTTAGTAATGGACATGTCCAGGAAAAAGAGGACGTATGGTAACCCTATCATAAAAGGAGACCTATTTGGTTAGTATTTTGAAATAAATGGTCTAGAGAGCAGAATCTATGATATACATAATAAAATTTAAGCATGGTGAATGAGATGAGCACTTATTTTACACAATATATACTCAAAATTCACAAAAATGTGACAACTTTTTGGGGCTAATTCTAAAACCCCAGGCACAAAATGCAAGCGGTAAATGGATTTTGTGTAAAAGAGGCTTTTGTGTATGTTTTCTGTTGATTGTGGCAGCAGTAATTAATCAAATGATTATGAAATGATATAGAAGGAAATTATATCTGGCCATATACAGTATATTTAGATATGTGCAGTAGACATGCCTACTTTCTGCCTTTTAAAGGGATGTGGTAAAGTGTGCCAGATTGTGTTAGTCTGCTGCGTCCTTAAACTGACCCACACAATGTGGAACAGCACTTTGCAAATTCCATTCGGCACATATTTTGTGGGAGCGTTTGTGCTATGATCTTATTTTAATAATTTCTTTAGTCATTCGGGCACTAAAATAACATGTATGCAAAGTATATAAATAAATGGCTCTATCAGTGGCTTTGAATTTCCCTTTACATGTTTATTCTCATCGACGAGGCTATTATTGGTAAATTTGGAAACTGACAGAAGGGCACTTTGTTAACTGGGCACAGTGTTCGACAGATGCCAGTAAATTTGAAATGGCCAATTAGCGGTCGATATGTTGGTCTTTGACTGTTTGAAATAAAATATAATCAGTCTCTCTAACATTTTCCTTTTCGCTCTTTCAGAAAACACGCACTGAACTGCCACAGGATGAAGCCGGCTCTCTTCAGTGTTTTATGCGAGATCAAAGAAAAAACTGGTAAGTCGTTCGCTTACTCTACCAATGCAGAACTTCTGTGTGGGTTTGTGTCTTAAAGCCGCACTCCCGCATTGCAAGAAGATCTTTTTCATTACTCCGTATTGATTCTGCATTGACCATATGCAGAGACAGGTGTTTAATAATCATCAGACTGAATTTATTGTGTCCCTGTGCTCTTTTTTTAGCGTCAGTAGCGTTCCTCTGGGCTTTCCAGGTGTCTTATTGTATTGCCCACTGCAATCATTAAGTGTCATAGCAATGGATTCAGTGTTTACATTGTGAAATCTCACTTGAATTCACTTCAAAGCTTTGAACTAGCAACAAGTGTGTTTGCTTTAATCTCATTGCTTTAGAGGTTACATTTCTCATTGTGAACCCCGTCCACGCAAACCATCCCGGTCCAAACAGGTAACGGCTCCTGCATCTTAACTGTAAGATCCACAGTGGTCAGTTTTCTGGCAGATCTGCAGCTTTCTCCCCTCTAAAGAGAGGCTGACAAATGATTAAATATTTATGGAGGTGTTGGCGTTGTCTTTGTGCCATGGTTTCTCTCATTTCTTTCCTGTCATATCCTGCAGCTTGAATCCATCTCAGCTTCTGTAACAAGCATGCTCATGTGGAATTACAGTGCAAAAATGATGTGCAGCGGTCTGTTTGTGGCAATCTGTCAATAACCCAGTCTTACTTTCCTATAATTGGATGCAAGTAAAGGGTAGGCTAGAGGAATGGATATCGGGGGTTGTCCCTGTTGCCAAGGCAACCTGCTGTCTTATTTACCTAATGTCATTCACTTTGATTTTCACATTTAGCTTGCCAGTGGAGAAAGGGCCGGGGAGAAATGCAGCACTAAATGGAAGGTGTTGTCGGCAGTGCAGACAGGCGAAGTTAATGGTCAGAATTTTTCCATACATCACTTCGGTTATCGCCAAACTTAATCTACAATCCGTGTTTTACCCTGAAGACTTTGGTGTAAATGAGCTGATTTACTAGATGACAGGAGCAAGGCCATTACTGTCTGATCTGAGCTGCGGTTTCGCTGTTAAAGCCTGTTTATGGTAAATTCATTGTGACAAAACGCATTTTTTGAACCAAAACTAAAATTCTTTGTATTTGCAATAAATAGTATTTGGGAATTCTAAATCACAATATATTTTATTATATGTATTTGATTTTTTAATGTACAATTTATAATGCATAATTATATTTATATATTATTTTATATTTTTTATATAATTATAAGTGTGTGTGTGTGTGTGTGTATATATATATTTATATATAATATTTATATAGTAATATATATAATAGCATGATATAAAATATATTAACAAATATTTATTCAATTATTTTAAAATAATCCGTTTTTTGTTTATTTTGTTAACTGTTTTACATTCATCCAGCGCTGTACAAAAATAATCTCTCTATTTCTTGCTATTCAATGGCAATACTTAAGAAAAAAATTTGAATGGAGTACTTAAAAATGTGGAATGTAATGCTAAAAAAATAATTAAATTGAATTAAGAAATTTAAAACATTTGGGAAAATACAAAACATTTGGAAAGTCAAAGAAATGTATATCCTGCATTGATGGCAGCTGTTTTGTAAACATATTAACATCTCGTATTATTGTAGTAACAATCTTGGTCACTGCACAAAAAAATTAAATAAACGTTAAGTAGAATGTGAATCTGGATTCTATTTTCTCTACTCAGTGAGATTTAATCATTTAAAAAGTCAGTCTAGCATTTGAATAAAAACAACAGGTCTGTATGCTGGCGTTTGCAGAGATGTATTGTTTTTCATGTAAATCTGGTCAGACTTTGTCTGAACAGGCCTCAGCTCTGAGTGGAGTTGTGTGGTGGATGGTGTCCATCATTGTGATCAGCACGTCACCCACCTCCTTCCCAGCTCCATATATATATATATATATATATACCTGCACTGCCTTTCTCCAAGACTCCCCGCTGCTTTTATCTCCTGCCTCTGGAATGTGCTTTCCGGGGCTTTGATATGGTAATGGAGGTGGAGGGGAGGGTTAGGGAAGAGTGGGGGAGGGGCATTGAATTCCTCAGAGTGCTGCTGCAGTTGGAAAGATTGTTTTTTATTGTTAAGGAAATGTTCTGCTCAAAAGTCACACTAACCACCCCCCTCGCATTTCCCCATCTGTTTAACATAAACTTCATGTGTGTGAAATGTCACCAAGAGCTTGTAACACTCCAAAGAGAAAGGAAAAATTGAAATCGCATCATATGACCCCTTTAAGTCACAAATTTTAGTTGAACAATTTAAAACAAGAAACGTTAGTTAAACTTAAAATGGAAATAATATATAAGCAATATTTAAGATTCGACACTATTTCTGGGTCACTAATCAAAGCACATTTGTGACGTTGATCATGTGAACTCATCAGATGTTCTTGCTTCCACTTAGTGTTCATTTAGTTAACGAAGACTATGACGAAAAATGCTCCGGTCGCCCCTACGGGGCTGTTTGGACCCGCCGTCGAGGGATTTGCAGTAGTGTTAATTTCGTTGACGAGCTTTTTTCCCATGACTAAGACGAGATGAAGACGAGATGACAATAAGGTCAATAAACGATAACTAAGACTACATAATAATAATTAATTAATAATTTATGCATTTAGCAGACACTTTTATCCAAAGCAACTTACAGTGCATTCAGATTATACATTTTTTACCAGTATGTGTGTTCCCTGGGAATTGAACCCACGAGTCACGACCTTAAGCACTGCTAACGCAATGCTCTACTGCTGAGCCACAGGCAGACAATATCAACATGCAATTTTGTTGATGAAATAAGACGAGACTAAAATGTATTCAAAAAGATAAAAACTTTACCAAAAAACTCTTTTATTTTCGTAAAAAAAAGGAGACAAAATGTTATTGCACACTGCTCTACACGTCTCTACTACGCGAGCTTTCATGAGTGGTTCTGTCATGAGATCTCACTATATTGTTTGCGATTGTGATCGCTAAATAAATACATTTACTCAATCGTTGTTGTTTTAACAGAGAAATAGACTTGCAATTATGGAATTAGTGGAATTACTAGGAATTTCACTGTTATAATATTTTTCGTTTGTTTTAGCTGTTTTCATAATGTAGACAGAGAGACTGCATAAGTCTTTGGTGTTGATTTATATAATAAAAAGCCTATAATAAATCAGTACACTAGATTAGGTAAAATACACAATGTGTCCACCCACATTCTATTGATTTGTGCTTACTTACTTTCGTGCAATACCTGTAATGCAAATGTACATTTCTCAAATGACAACAATCTTTACGATTATAATTTTGAGCAAAAATAATTTTGATCAGTTTAACCATTATACAGCATGACGAAAATGCGACTAAGATTGCATTGACTAAAATCTGACTAAAATGCTCATACATTTCATTGACTAAATAAAAACAGGACAAGGTTGACTAAATCTGAAATACATAAAACGAACATTCGAGTAA